CCCTTTTTGGTTCCATATTATGTACGAAACCTTTTTATCGCTCACAAACTCTTTTTGGTTCGGTATTGCACCTTTTTTTTTCAGTGTACTTCCATGATACTTCCTCGTACTTCAAAATACTTCGGAAGTAGATGAAGTCTTGCTCCTTCCCCCTGGACACCCACCCACACCCGCACCCACACCCCCACAACCACACACCCACACGTACCCACACCCAAACCCTGCTCTCGCTTATTTTTTCGGTCGCTTTCACGGTCTTGAGACTCATTTCAGTTTGAGACAGATTCTTCGTAGTCGCCGTGGTTCCATTGTGGTTCGTCGCATCGTTACTAGCTTTGTTTTCGTGGCTCCAGTACTCTTCATTGTCTCTTTCAATGTGCTTCTTGTGAACGCAGTTTTTAGAATTAGTCTTCATTAAGACGGCGGTTCCAATACCGACCTTTGTACGCCTCCAAGTTTCATTGGCGGTTCCGCTACACATCGCAGTTGCTTTTAAGTTCTTGACACTAGTCGCGGTTTAAGATGCGTAACTTAGATCTGCGGCGGTTTCAAGATCGATGCTCATACCTCTGCTTGCTTCTTGCATGGTCTCATTTCTATTCGTGGTTTCAAACGGGTTTGCCGTAAAGACAGCAGTTTGAATAGAGACATGTGTAGCTCTTTTGGCTTCCTTGCAGTGCCACTATACTGGGTGGACCAAAAGTAAGGAAACAGGGAAACACACAGAAGGGTGTGGAACCCCGAAAAAGACCTTGTTTTAAATTTCAATAAGCCACTTATGAAATATCAGTAAATAACTAGTAGACGATAACTGATTTTTGACAGTGGTTATGATGTGGTACTTTTTCTTGATAAACATTGCATCTTGAGCTGGATAAATGTAACGCTGATACGAAAACCTCATTTTGGGCCCTATTTTTGCTTTACATAATAAATCAATCGTTTCAATATTACAAGCGTGAAATAACAATTGGTATATTGCTGATGGAAAAAAACGTACAATTTTGGAATAAATTTTCTTTCAAAACATACAATAAAAGATTTTTCTTCTTTTAGAAAAGGGTCAGCGTATTTAATTTTGAGGTTTAATATAAATGAAATAATGCAGATTCTCATTGTACCAAGAAATACACCAATGTAACATCATCCTTGCGTTATTTTACTCTTACTTCATATCATCATGGTATGATGTCAACCTTTTATCTTTACGTAATACTGTTCATAGTATTGAATGCTCTTTCAATACCTTTGTAAACGCTGCGCTATGCATTGCATATATGCTCGTTGTTCTCTTTTCACTGCGAGAGGTTACCGCATCAAACAGATGCAATGATAAATAGTTGAGAAGGAGAGAGAAGAAAAGAGAACAATCGAGAATATTCTCAATGGATATTGTGCAATGTGAAGAACATAACTCACTCGAGATTACATATCTTTCTTGAATGGTATATATATATATGTTGGTGTACATGTTATATATTCAGTGTGTGTAATAAAGAGTGTGTCATATACGGAGTTATATATAGATATAATAATGTGTGTGTTAATATCAAGAGAGAAATAAAATCACGTATAACAGGTAACGGAATTAAGCTTGAAGAAACGATAAACAAAGCAAGGCCTTAAAATACGCAGTGGCGTAGCGAAGGGAGGGGCAATTGCCCATTTGATTTGTAGATTTGCCCATTGTAATTTTTATGAGTAAGTTTTTGCCCATTGAAATATTACTTTTTCAGAATGTTTTATTTATTTTTGAATTAAACAGTAATTCTATTGTTTTTCTTCCGTCTGAATCACACATGCACTTTTTACTTGTTCTTTCCGTGAACAATTAAGAAAAGAAGAAGAACAGAATCGCTGCTGGTATTTTAATCAGAGTTGCCAGATGAAAAGCTCGAAAATCAGAAATTCTTGTTTTCAAAATCAGAAAAAAATCAGAATTTTTTCTTTGAAATTGAAAACTAATCAGAAAGAGTAACTTCTTGCAAACCAAGGCCTATCATATTGACATACTTGCGCAAAATGCTTTATTGTTTTTGTTTATCGATTCATACTGTATTTCCAAAAGTATTTCATAGTAAAGAAAGACAACACAAACATTATATAGCTTAGAGTGAAAGATCGTGTACTGTGAGCTAAGGAAATTGATCATAGTCGGATCAAATGAATGCTCTCACTGTCAAATCAACTGATTAAAAATATGAGCTGCCAATAGTGTACACAGACCGAGATATTCGAGTTTCAAGAAATTTACAGACTGTTATGTGTCTACGCTACGAAATTTCAACATCACTTAATTTTCTTTTTTCGTCATGGTTAGATGTAGCATGACCATTTACATAACAAAAAGCAATATCACGCATATTAAAAAAGCAAATTCTATGCAGTCTAGGACTCATTTTTTTTAATTGTAAGGGTAATAAACAAAAAATTCTAATTGCTGTCAAATTACTTTTGAATATGGGTGATATTATTGCTCCTTATGTAAATAGTCATCTTTCGGCCAACCATGTCGAAAAAAAGCAAACTAAGTGTTGATGAAATTTCGTAGTGCGAGCACATGAAAAACTGTAAATATCTTGAAATGTAAACATCTCGGTCTGTGTACGATATTGGCAGCTCGTGTTTTAAACGGATTGGTCTGTCAGTGAGAGCATTAATTTGATTCGACTATAACCAATCTCCTTAGCTCGCAGTTACATGGCCTTCTATTGTTAGTTGATGCAAAAAAAACCTGACACCTAGTGTCGTATTCTTTTACGAAGCCCAAAACTCTGTTTACAAAAAATATGCGCAAACAAATCATATATGTAAACTATGCAGATCAAAAAATCTTACAAAAAATAATAAAGGTTATAAAACATAAATTTCATATTATTTTTCAAGTTTTACTTTGTTCAAAATCCCTTCAATAAATTTTTGTGAGCTAAAATATGTTTATAAAATCGTTCAAAAAAATAATTAGCATTCATTCTTAAGTTCAGCAACGCAAAAGTTTACTGATATATTAAAGTATTTGTCAGTGGCTGCAGAACTCAGAAACTACAAAAGATTAAGAAAGGTAAGAAGGTAGAACAATACGGATTTATAATATTAATGAGTTATAGTCGTAATTTATTTCGCTAGTAAAGTCACTGTCTAAAAACGTTTAGAACTCGAGAAAAATCAGAAAATCAAAAGAAAACCGGGAAGATATTCTAATTTCACAACATTTCCTCACTTTTCAGAAGATCTAGCAAACCTGATTTTAACTGTAAATTTGGGTGAACATGAGTTCGATTTTATTGGGAAAACACTAACCACGTAACGATAGACAAGAATAGATCGAAGAGACAAGAAACAAGAGCACAGACTAAGAGAACACAAACGAATATAGGTATGTATAGATATATATATACATATAGGGTGGCGCATAGAAGAGAAAGGAAAAAACCAAGATGTGAAATGACATAGTTCATAGGGAAAATGTCCATGTGTTTTGGTCAGATACATATTGAAAGCATCCTCAACATTAACGTATGCATGTTTTTTTACGTTATTAGTACTTTGTTAAGCCAAAAAAGTTTTGGCCTATCAATAAAAACCGTGCCCATTTCGCCCATCGGTTTTTTTCGACACAAGAGAAGTTTGCCCATTGGCCTAAAAATCCTGGCTACGCCGCTGAAAATACGTGATCCAACAACGCGGTCACCCGTCTTTCTGCATCGTATCCTTTGCTTATTCTCAATTTTCCGTTACACTCATTAATTGAAAATACACCAACGAAAATAAAATCTCTCCTCTCTCAACCATTTAATCATCGACATTTCTCGTTCCTTAATATCATTCATTCGTATTTAATTAAGCAAACCGATGCTGTATCATTTCGAAATTTATCTTATTCATTGATTTATATTTTATTTCAGAAACTTGTTGAATCGGACCGAAAATTTTCTTTTCTCATCTTATTCCAATAATCAATCAATCCAATCATGGTAAGTTTGGTTAAATAAAACTGAAAAAAAAAATCTTCGAAATTCTTATTCATAGGTTAATTTTACTGTCGATCAAATTCGTAGTTTGATGGACCAAAAGAAGAATATTCGAAATATATCAATCATTGGTCATGTCGATCATGGAAAATCACCATTAACTGATTCACTTGTTTGTAAAGTTGCTATTATTACTCAACAAAAACCAGATAAAATGCCTTTTACAAACACATGAAAAGGTGAACAAGAACGATGTATGACAATTAAATCAATGTAAAATTTTATTTTAAATTTAAATTGAAAATAATCTCTCTTATTTTGTAGAGCTATTTTACTTTATTACCAATTACCTGATAAAGATTTATCGTTTCCTAAACAAGAACGTGAATCTGATGTATCTCATTTTTTAATCAATCTTATTGATTCCACAGGTCATGTGAATTTTTCATCAAAAGTTACCGCACTTTACATGCTACCGATGACGTTCTTGTCGTTGTTGATTGTGTTTCAGGTATATTATGAATAGATAGAGGCGTATTGTAATGTATATCGTACCAACTGACTCAAAAAATGTAGAATTCTTTGTAAGAACTATAAATCAAGTAGAACTAACAATGACCTAAAAAGAAACTATGTTTTTTTTCTGAGTAAAGGTGTTGGTCTACAGACTGAAGCTGTCCTTCTTCAAACCATTGGTGAACATATTAAACCAATATTATTTATAAGTAAAATGGATCGTGCATTACTTCACTTAAAATTTCAACATATTGTTGAAAATGTAAATGTTATCATTGCAACTTATGGTGATGATAAGTGGACCAATGGGTAATTTACAAGTAAGAAGAATTAAAGTTTTTTAATCATGGCAAGTTCATAGGCCAACCAAATGCGTTTTATTTTAATATGCATACGGTGGTTCAACTTTGCCAATAGTAAAAAAAAGTTTCTCCTCATAAGCCAAGATGTATTCGATTTATATCGTCATACATAAGAGCATATGTTGAAACAAAGAATTATTTTTTTAAATAATTTTTTCATTTGAATCAATTTAGGTTGATCCAAGAAAAGGCACAGTTGGTTTTGGTGCTGGTCTTCATGGTTGGGCATTTACATGAAGAGAATTTGCTAAAATGTATGCATCAAAATTTCAAATTGAAGTTGATAAACTAATGAATTGTTTATGGAATGAAAATTTCTTTTACATCAACAGAAAAAAAATCGTCACAAACCGATGATAAAGATTATCTTCGTGGTTTTTGTCAATTTGTTCTTGATCCAGCATTTAAACTAGTTAAGGGTGTGGGTGGGTGTACAGTATGCACTAGTGTGTGTGTGGGTATCATGATGTATTAAACCATACCCACATTCACCCTCTAGGTCAGAAGCGTGGAGAGAATATGAGTGGATGGTAATCTTATCCTCATTCATGTTGATGCTAAAATGAGCTCTACATTTATTCGCACATATATCTGATATATAAACTAGATTGAATATACTGTTATCGAAAAATTTTCCAGAAACGTGCAATATTTTCTTTGAGAAAATGGTCAGCGAATTCGTAGAATGAGCGCTATCTTGTAATCATTGGACTCACGTTAATTTCTTTTTCACGATGATCAGTTGATCGACATGTATATTTGAACTAACAATTTGTTCATAATAGAAAGAAGCAAGTTACTTTTAGTATGGATATGTTTCATCCGTTACAGATTTGAAATAGGGCAACAAACGATGAGAAATCTTTTTTTTTCGTTCCAATGATTTATTGCAATAAATACCTTAGGAAATAACACATCTATCTGTCTGTTATTCAATTAGTTCTTGTATTTCAATGCCAAACTTTATGACATATATAATTTTCTACTCTCTTTTATTACTTCAAATATTTTACAATAATATGTTCATGAAAATGTATACTTGACATAAGGAACATCTTGAACTTCATTTCCTTCAAGGTCATCACAGAATATATCTAATATAAGAGATCGAACGTGTGGTGGTATTCTTCTTTTGCTCACCGTTTCATATATATGAGAAATCCTTAAAAATGAAAAGAGATTAATTTGTTTACTCGTTTGATGCATAAAATGTGCACTATAAATCATAAACGATCCTTCTGAAATTATGTTTGGTACTAGTTTATGCTCACACTATATTCCACAATTCAAAGTTAAACAAAAACTAATCCTAAATCAGATTGATTTTCCTTTACCTTAAAGTATTCTATAAATTCTTCCAATGATATATCACCTTTCACTTCAAACCGATCTCATAAAGTGAATTCTTTATCTAAATCCTATAATTAAATGAGAAGAATTTATAGTTATTCAAAATTGATTGTCTAATATTCTAAACCTTTTGACATTTTGGTGGTACCGGTTCAAAAAATGCAAACAATGGTAAAGCCAAATTAAAGCATGCATTTCGATATGATTCAATCTTCTTATGACCTTAAATTAATTTATAAACTTCAAGATAAACAAGACCTGTAATCATTGCTGTTGTTGTTACAATAGCTGGAATTATATTTCCAGCAATTCTTTTGATTTGACTTCGATCAGTTATTTGTATTTTATAGTTTTCAGCTCGTAAAAGAGTTGCTGCTACTATATAATCCATATGAAAATTCGTATCATCATCTGTTTTTAATTCACATATGGTTGAATCTTAATGTCAACTATCTCATCAAGTTTAGGCAATCGACTAAGAAGTTGTTCAACTGATGAATTGTTTTCCTTTTGAACATTCATTCGTTGCTGATCATCAAATCTCCATTGGTTACTATCATTATCTGCTGTGGAAATATCTTTTGGTTTAAATTCAGGCACTTGTATTTTTGTTACTTCTTGTGCAATAAATTGACGATCACATGTTTGTGAGATATTATACATATGTGCAAATAAATTGGATGCAGCAATAATGAAATCCAAATGAAGTTTATTGTTAACATCAAATTTCAATATATGAGGACATCGTCTATATCCACTCCAAAAAAGTTCACCTCTATATGTCACATGATCACGTGGAAAATTATGAAGTAACTGAACAATTGCATTATGAAATTGTTGTTCGAAGAGATTTCGAGACTCAATGAACAAAACAAGATAAACATTCATTTTTATTGTAAACGATATAAACTTACCCATTTGATATAATCGGTGAAATTTCTTGGACGATTTTCAACAAGAATATGTTTAACATTTCCAACAATTTCATTTTTTTCATATTCAGAGGGCTTTTTAGCCGTTCGTTCAGCGAAACCTTTGGAATCATGCGCAAATTCTTCAACTTGTTGAGCAGGCATTGTAAATAGATCAGAAAAAGTATAGAGTACCCATTGAATGATATGATTAATAGAAATTGGAAAATTTATTGCAGTACTCAGGTCTACTGTTGAATCGGATGGATCATTGGTAGATGAATATGATTCAGTAAGAAATGGTACAACAACTTGAACACTTGCTTTTGTACCAAATATACCACTATCTACCAATGGTTTTCGATAATAGACACAATGACGATCAACATATTGACCTTAAAACAAAGAGTTTCAAGTTTTCAAAAAAAAAATTCGGAATAAAACTAGAATCAATATCACTTGTCATTCATATATCATGAATTTTATAGAAGTGAAAGAATTCTGACTAAAGATAAAGAGATGATAAGAAAGTAGTTGATGAAACTCAACCTTCCAAGAAGAGATGTTCTCGAATTATGCCACATTGACAAGCGGACAGCTGAAAGTAATAAGAAATAACTTTTCCATTTTCAGTGATGTGTAAAAGAATCAGATAAATCTCTTTTAAACGTATTTCTCTCTTGCCCATCGTTAATTAGCTTTTTAAATATTTATATAGAATGGGTCATAAATAACTTTACGATAAAAAATTTGCACATGTCCACTCTGTTTAAATCAAATGGACTGATTTGTCAATCTGTGGTAGAAGGAAGTTCAAAGTTTTTATTGATAAGAAACAGGCTAATATCGATTTGAAGTATCATCTTAGGGTTCAGCACAGATTTTTTTAGTCTTTTACGGATTCTTGAAAATTACAATATGCAAGATGTTCTACTGTATAAATCTATCTTAAGTCGAACAGATCATTAAGAATATTTAAACTTGATCAAGTCTCTTCGAAAACCTTATTCATACTTAAAAATGTGTCTTGAACTGTACTCCTTTAAGTTGCATATCACACACCTCTTTATCAGACAACGTCATAAATGACAAGAATTTTAATCTATATCAGTAATTCGAATGTTATCAAAATACTTACGAGTTTTGACGTTGTCAACTGCAGTGACAAGACCATCCAATTGTTGAAAAAAATGATCATTATATATGTGTTCTGTTTCTGATAAAGCCCCATCGACATATGTATGAACATGCATATTGAGATTGATTACTTTTATTGATTGAGCTGCTACTGTTGATTTCATTTTCTGAAAAGACCAATAAAACTTCTCACTCCAATTATTATTTCCGGGCAGATAAAAAAGAAACTTACACCAATATCCCAAGAACGGAATAGAAATTGTCGATGTAAATCCGATATCTTGATGGAATCAATATCGGATACAAATACTGTACCATCTCTTCCGCATCCAATACCCATCATAGCAAAATTTTTCAATATTTCACAACCAATTGTACCTGAACCAATCTATAATTAATTCGCTTATTTTAACATGTTTTTTTTTTGCTCATCATTCTTTCTTCTTCTCTTACCAGAAAGTATTTAGCATTGCCTAGTTTATCTTGAAAATCTTCACCAAAAACAACTTCTTAAGAATAATATCGACTTTGTTTTGATGAAAAATTTGATCTTGTGTTTGATTCACTTGTTGTTTCATTTGATGGATGAAAGACATTTTCAGGTAAGCATTCAACAGCATCAAAATATAAAAATTGTCGAATTGGCATAAACTTTTCTGTCACTGCCTGACAAAAACAAAACAAAACAAAACATGAATGAATGAATGAAATTCTTCTTACGTTTATTGCTTCTTCAGTAGCAATACCACCAATAACAGATTGAATTGGACATAAATCACCAGTACATGTTTTAGCAAACAGTCTTATCCAATGTTTATTTAGTTGATCTGTTAATACTTGTTCACGATTTTCTCTGTTCAATTTTTCAACTATTTCATAGAATTTATCTGCATCATCCTAAATAAGAAACAAATAAATGATAAATAAAAGAATAAATGAATATGATGTACATTATTCCATGGTTGAGGCAATGCATTATATTGGTTTTGAAAAAGTGATAAACCTTGAAAGGATAAATGAAGATTAGCAGACATTGATATCTTTGAAAAATCATAAATTAACATTTCTGGATTTTTCAATGAATCAGAAAATGATTTCTAAATTGAAGAAAATAATTCAAAATTCAATGATCAACGAAGAAGAAAGAATAGTCTTATGAAATGCACAGTTTCCATTTGTTTGACTTCAGTAACTGTTCCACCACCTTCATAGACACCAAAATTTCTTGTATCACCAATAAGAAATGTATATTGATCTAAAACACAATCTTTTCCTATCTAGACAAAATAACTAATGAAAAAAAAGAACACAAACCTAGTACAGTGATTTTGAATTCACGATCATTAATTTCAGTCATTCCTTTCACACCATGAAAAGTAACGTATGATCCATCTTCGAAACCATCTTTTGTATATGTCGCTATTGATACAACACCAATTTCATCCTGAACAACAAACCTAAATAAACAAACTTTCTCCATCATTCGAAAACAATTCATACATGACTGATTGAATTGACTATTTCTTCTGTTATTGCATCTTCACCATTTGTATCGAGTACTTTGAAGTTTTGACCAAAATCACAAAATATTTGTCTATTTAAAATAAAGATATACCTTACAAATACAATTCATTTATTTATTTTACCCAAATAAACCTTTTGTATTAACATTAACAAATTTTATTCCATGTTCATGACAATAATCACCTATTTTCACTTGATTATCAATATCACCATCAGTAAGAACAAATACCTATACATTCATTCAACAAAAAAAAAAACATATTTGATTTTTTCGACAATTGAAAATAACATACATTCACTTTATGCTTTTGAAGAAAATCTTCATCAATATTGCATGAAGAATATGTCACATTAACATTAGTATTCAGTTCAGATAATTTTTCTCTAGTAACTTCAGTACGATTTTGACCAATATCAGAGTCAGAAAAATAATACTATTGTAGAAATACGAAAAAAACAACAAGTATCAAACTAATTAATTATATTAGTGATGATAAATCTTTGTAGTCAACATTGTTACAATCATGAACAATAACTGATTTAACACCACACAATATCAGATTTTTTAGCAATTTCAACACCAAAACCACGCATGCCTGATATAAGAATATCAGCATTACGTAATTCGTACATTGCTTCTTTTTCCATCACATAACTAATAGAAGAATAAACAATATTTATTTCTTATTTTTCATATGTAAAAAATAGTCTATATACAGTTGTCGTGAATAAAGATGTTCATCGATTTCAGGAGTTGTTGTCGACGTCTGATATTCCAGATCGGTAGCCATTTGATCTGATCTTGCAGTTTGTTGTATGACTCGTGAATTATTATTCCCACTCTTCTAAAATATAATTATAATCAACTACTTACTCTTCTTTTTTTTTGAAATAGAAAACTAAAAAACAAGAAGATTGAGAAAAGGAGTATGAAAATGTTTAAATAAATGTTCTTCCGATAACTTTTATTATTTTTTTTGTCGTCGTTCTTTTTCATCTCTTTCTTTTATTCATACAAAGTCAAAGAGAAAAACACTTTCTAACACACTACCTTCATAAGACCACCACACCACAAAGAAACAAAATCTATACGACAGAAAAATTCTTCATCGATACCTCCAGTCATAAGCAGAAGTCTTAAAGACTTAGAGAGAAATTGATCATTTTACTTTTTCATATTAAGAGAAGTTTCTGGCAGAAATTCTTCAACCATTTCTTCGCTTCTAAGTAGAAGTCAAAAGGACTTAAAGAGAAATGGATGCAGTGATCTTTTTGTCGGAGATTTTATTGTACGAAAATGACGGTCCTATTTTAGATTATGTGCTCTTTCCGTATCATTGATGTCATTGAGATTTTGGTTGTGTGTAGCGCCAAGTTTATTTATATATAATCATAATATACTGTCGACGTTTCGATATATCTGATATCATTGTCAAGACAGGTGGAATTAGATTTGAGAGAAAAGAAGGGTGTGAGGGTGTGACTGAAAGAACAACACCCACACCCTCTATGACTTTTCGTCCGAAAGTTATAAGCTTGTTTCCATCTGCCTTCTTTTAAAATTCTGATACTAATTAACGTAATTGTGATTCTAAACATGTCTGATGACTTCTAGCAAGGATCAAAACATGTCCTATGAATGCTTGAATTATCTCTTCTCCGTAAACTCATCCTCGCCCTCATCGTCAGCCATTTTCCAGCATTTCTGGATTAACATCAGTGGCCTTCGAATAGTTCAGATTTAAATCCTCTGAACTATTGTATTTGGGATGAACTTGCTGGGAATATTAACTGGGACCAAATAACATGGAAAAAAGTTTAATTGAAAAACTAAAACGGGCTACGAAAAAATAAGGCTCGAAGTTGTTTTTCAAAATTTTAATTCTTGGACTGGCAGTTTGTTGATAGTTTTTAAGAATGATAGAAATTATTTACATTAGTAAATAAAGATCACTTTTGTAGAAAATTGAATTCTGCATTTTCAAAAAAAATTAGGTTGCTGTGATGGTTTTTGACTGAGATATTGAAGAAACACATAGAAGGACATTTATTCTGGCATACCCGTTATAATTAAAATGACATTTTACACATTCAAAAAAAAAACACAAAATTAATTTAAATCATAAATATTGCAGCTGGCAAATTCCAGTTTCTTAGAAATGGAATACAGATTCAGGTAATTCCATTCTTTTTGCTATTTCATTTAGTCTTTTTCGATCTAACTTGCTAAGTTCAAGGCTTTTAACTTGTGCCATTTTATCTCTGCTTAGAAGAGTTCCAGCTTGAGAATCTCTATTCAATGCAGTCAGTGCTTCTGGAATTAGTGATTTTGAAATGCCACAAACATCAAAAACTACACCAATAGTTTCTTCTGGTTTTGATATCAAGTTTTCATATGTTACTTCTGGAAGAGCATAACAATGCCTATCTTTCAGAAAACAGGCATAAGGAGCGGCGAAAATAATAAAAGCCAATTCCAATAAACTTTCTGGTTTAACTTTTTCAACAGTACTTTTCTCTAGTTCATATCCAAAAAGCCATTTTCCTAATTTAGGAAAGTTTGATTGTAAGTAGACAGTTTCTTTCCAAAGGAATGACTCATGCATCACTTTGTATAAAGAAATCGTAGCCTTTTCCACATTTTCACGAAACTGAAATATGTGTGGAATTTCAGGAAAAAGTTTGTGCATGTGACCAACCAATGGTGCAACAGTCGAGTCCATTTTTATTATGTAAATCTGATCTTTTGTCATATCTTTGCAATATGTATAAAGAAGTGATCGAAGTACAGTATGGAAGAAGTCCAGAGGCCATATGTTTTCGTCATACATCATTACTAGATTTGCAAAAGGATAAGGTTCCGCAATGGTTTGAACTTGCTGGCCAACCTGAACCATTTGAGTTATCAGTGTAGAACCACTTCTCGGACAATTGTTAAACACAATTACTTTTCCTTTCATAGGTCCCAGTGAATGGCATGCAAAAGCGCAAAAATCTCTAAATATAATAAATCGCAATGGATGCAAATTTCAAGATACTTATTTAAATTTAGCATAAACTTACTTTATTGGCATTCGAGCTAATTTGAGAGCGTCAGTAAACTGTTTCACGGCAAGAAACGGTGCACGTTTCACATTATATTCTGTAATTGGTTTTGGTAAGAGTGTAAAATAGGCATATCGATCAGAAATCGTGTAAAGTACCCAATTTGGGTTATATTTCAGGAGCTTTTCAGCATCATAAAATTTTTCATGCAGCCACATAAAATTGCATTCTCTGGCCACATCGCCTTCGGCTGACTTTAGACGATACAAAATGGTCAAAATTTCACATTGAATGGTAGTATTATTTTTGGGAGAACGAAACCAATATGACTGAAGATTCGTAATTACATCTCTAATAACACGGTAGATTATATAAAAGATTAGCTTTAATACATTCATAGTGCAGCCCGAACGAGAAAAGCTCATACACGATACGCGCTTGATTGTGATTGTGGTGACGATTGTGACTAGCTCTAAAAGAAGAAGCAATGCATGCTAAAACTCTCAACTGCACTCTGTTAACAATAGATAACACAACAAACCCATGTACGAGCAATAATGATAAATATAAGAGACTGGTTGCTGTTATCATATTTTTAAGGTGCGAAGTATCTTCTAGTAGTCGGTCGCGAGTTTTTTTTCTCGACGTTACACAGAGTGTGGGTGTGGGTGAATGAAGAAGATAAAGATACACCCACAACCACACCCAACATGACGAAACAACCAATAACTAACTATAAAATCATAGTCAAAAATACATTAAAAGACATTCTTGATGATCTAAGATATAATCGATCGATTATAACAGATTTCTTTTTTTAACATTTATTTGTTTATTGTCCCTATATACTGAGGTTGACAATGTATGATAAAAATAAAATAAACGAAATAAGAACAATATAGAAATGGTAACGAGAAGAAGTAGAAAGGAAAGAAAGGATAAAGAAAAGTAAGAGATTATATTATCATATGTTATTTAGTGACATCTTATGTTATATAGAGAAGTCAATAGAACCGTAAAAGAGGATAGAGAAAATACAGTCAGTTGGTAATGATGTCAAGAAAAAAAGATTATCGAGCAGTATATATTTTTAGATATTTGAAACATATAACATCTTATTATGGTCAAGTCAACGTACATGTTTCGGGTGTTGTTAAAAGGTATTTATATATGAAGAAATAAGTTGGAAAAGAAGCATGTTTATAGTATCCATATT